TACCTGGGTCCTTGTGCGTAACGCAGTAGATAGCCTTGCCGCCCACGTTCCCGTAGTGAGGTCTCTTGTAGCAGCCAGGCCTGGAGCACATCTTGTTATGCACGTTGACATACCCCACATCCTTGTGAAGCGCGCAAAACACCGGCTTGCCTCCGGGTAGGCCGTAGTATGCATGCCTGTCGCAGTTCTCTTCCCCGCAAGCCTTCCGCATCGGTCTGGGTCGAGGCGAAGTCGGCAGCGAGTTCGCCGAGCCCTGGTTGCTGCTGGCTCCGCCGCCGCCGCCGCCGCCGCCGCCGCCACCACCGCTACCGCCGCCAGTCTGCTGGTGCTGGCCGCGCTGATCTCTGCCCCCTCCATGATTTGGTAGAGAGGCCCCCGAGCCTCTGCCTGGAGCGGCCGTAGTTGCAACGTGGTGGCCCTCGATTGAGGGCAAGCAACGGCCAGTGCAGGGATAAAACGGCGACTTCCTGCTGGCGCCACCGTCGGTCGCCGCCGCCTCTGCGCCGCGCCGCTGATCGCCGCCGCTGCACACAGCAGTATTTGCCGCCGCCTAAAGTAAAGGGTTGCTCTACGAGCCCCCGACGCCCGCGTGGGTGTGTGGATGTGTGTGCTGGTTGTTTTCTTGACAACGAACCACCAATAAAAGAGGTTGTTGCCTGTCTGCGGGGAACTATAGTGGTAAGTAGTCTACGTCTCTCATCTGCTTTGTCTGTCACATATGTTTCCTCTGCTTTTGTTGAGGGAGGGGAGAGGGGGGGCTGGACAGAGATTGACTCTTTAGTGCAAAACACCGGAATATCTTGCAGCGCTAAAACTCCGTCCGCCCATCCAATGGTCGGTACACAATATCTTGTACGTACGTGCGTGTGTAAGGAACACCTGCTGCGCTCGAGCCCTAGCGCTACTAGCTCATCCCTCTCGGTTGTTATGGTAACTGGGCACTACCTCTATCATGATGCTGGGAGAGCGTCATCTACTAAACAAAGTAGTTATTATGCCGCGCAAAAGGCGTGTGTACGTGTGCACGCTGACGCCGCCCCTCTCGTGTTGTTGTTGTTGTTGTTGTTGTTGTTGTTGTTGTTGTTGTCATCAAAAACCGTTCCGATCTCTCTCTACCCAGTAGTACCTTCGTATGTCCGTACTGATCCAACACTCGACGCGGTCGATTCCCGTGGTCACATGATCCAACACTCGACGCGGTCGATTCCCGTGGTCACAGGTTAACTTACCCTAAAAGTAGACTCAAATAACTCGTTTGTTATTGCTCTGACACTACTATTTTTTTTTTGTGTTTACTTGTTCTATCTGGCATGATGTGGTGTACCGTGACTACGATAAACTATCTGTGATTCTTGGTTGTTGTGAACAACCAACCTTGGCGCAACCAATAAATAAAAATGGTATGTACATGGTCTGTGTGTGGGTGCTTCACACACCAAATGAGCGACAAGACTTCTACTCTCTTCTCCGTGCGGGTCGTAACCGATGCCGGCGGGCAATCAATGCTACTTCGTAGTAGTACCGCGTGCAATACACAAAACCACCAGGAAGAAGACGAGAATACCCCCGACTGGACGTTGACTAAAACGGTACAATACAGCGTGACCAGCACCTCCAAAGACACAACACCTGTTGTTGTTCTCCGGACCACATCTACTACTCTGAGCCGAGCAAGGCTCAAAGCCTGACGTTTGCTGAGATATCGATACATGTATATCCGTCCGGGCCGGTATGCATGTCTAAGGTCGTCCACATCATCATCTCATTTTGTGCCATCATTTAAAAGAAGTAAGTTGGTGCCGGCGGAGCTCATCGCAAAATTCTTGCTGCGCCATCATCGTCAACCATTCATACTTTCTTGTCGGAAAAACGGTATTTGGTTGAGTGAGTTGGTGATTAATGTGTTTCGTATTCATATGTTGTTGTTGTTGTTGTTTCTCACATTAGGTCGGTAGTCCACGAAAAATGGGGAGCCCGTGGTCTCGAAACCCGGCACATTTCGAGGCCACGGGGAAACAAAACAAAAATAGGGTACAAACCAATCGGAAAAAAAAAAAATGATAGAAAGAAAAGAACAAGTACCGCACCCACCGTTCGAGAAAAGTATTCAGCGTCCCTACTGCTGTAGGGAAACGTCGGAACACACGCGCCTGCCTGTGGTCCCCCGTAGTTAGTGTTCCGTGTCGTGTACGGTTGGTTCGCACTGCTGTTTGTACTACATACATCACGTACAGCAGCAAGCGAGAGGCAGTAGAGTAATCATGTTGTTGTTGTTGTTTTTCTCCCATCATTGGACTCTGTCGTCTGCCCCTCTGGCCCCTATCCTCAACTTCTATTAGCAATCTATGGTGCTGCGTCTGCCTGCTGCGTGCAGCACCCTTACACACAAACCCCCGATGCTCGTAAGAAAAACACACTCACTCACTTGCTTGCCGTTAGGATGCATGCATAGGCTACATATCAAATCTTGCCTTGTTGTACAACAGTCTATTGACGACTCTGTAGGACACAATATAGATGAACCCACGGTCCATTTATTTACATGTGCATGCGACAGCAGTAGCAACGGACGACCTAACGACGCCAAAAATGCAACCAAAAGCGGGGAGAGCGTGGGCGATGAAGGGATGAGGGGCAAGAGGTGGTGGTGATGAATACTTGTTTTTTCGTGTACGCGAGCCTTGTCGAAGAAGGGCGGGAGGGGAAGGGTCGGCGAGGGGATGGGACGCATGCACGCATCTGCATGTATGAGTCCAGCCAGCTCCTTTCCCGGTCGCCCACCCATCTCACACAAGTATGTTGCAGGCGTTCAGAGAGAGGTTTCTGCCCTTATTGCTAACTGCTGGACAAAACGGCACCAACCGATAAAAGAAAGGCAGTTATGTAGCAGTTATACACGTCACAAGAGTATGATAAAGAGTAATGGATGACGCAATGTGTCCATCAAATAGAAAATAAAGTCCGATGCGGTCCTCTACCTGTGGGACCCTGGCTGGTGTGTCCAAACATGACATGTGCATCATACCTTCCAGCATCAATGAAATAGATGACACTATGAGCCCCCCCCCCCTGCACATAACGGCGGACACAACTATGGCGAAACTTCAGCCTGAGTGACATCGAAATCCCGTCTGGTTGCGATTGCCGCAGAAGCTATTCCTCAGGATGGTTGCCGTCAGGATTGACGCTGGCCCACGCAGCGTTAAGGAACAATGAAATGGCTGAGGATTCGGAACAGTTTCGTCCAAGGGTGATAAGCACTGCTGGTCGCTCAACCCCCAACATCCATCCTCTCTCCCTCTCGTCCTCCCACGGAACCCGCTATCGTGGAGCCGTAACCATTCCGCGGCGGGGATCTCCAAGCAACCTGCAACAGAGGCAACCAACCCTGATGACCGAGAGCAGGCGTTGAAGCGGAGAGAAATTTACGCACCAGACCGGAATTTCCCCAAGTTTTTTCTGTCTCGCTGAACGCAGCTTTCGCGGAAATATTCAAGGCCTGTACGGAGGTGCTCTTACCACAGAACACCAAACACACACACACAGCGTGATGCGGACAATTTTGATCGCATGCGGACAGTTGCTCGTGCTTCCGCTTAGGTGTTCAAGTCATTCCGCGCCCGCCACCACTCCCGCCCGCGCAGGCCGCTCACGAATAAGTGCATACTGCTGTACTGAGCGGAGGTAAGCACGTTTTGTGTTCTGTAATTCTTTGTCGTGACACCCATGACGAGAACTTCGGGGAAGCTGCAAAGTTGTCACCACTCTTCGCTCACTACAAGGACTTCAACACACCTCCTCAAGTTCTCATCGTGAGTCGGGGTTTGAAGGATGCTTCCAGAAAAGCCTGCTCAGGCGTCAACATCGCACCACGCCCAGACTAGTCACTCAGCTACACAAAACATCTGCCCTACGACATGGGCACGTGCACAGCTCATTTTGTCCCAAACGAACGACCTACAACTCCTTCGTTCGGCAAAATACATCCGTACGCTCTCACGCATGCCTACATGCCAATTTCCACACCTCGGCGCAATGGGAAACATAAGGCAGAGCTCCAAAACACCGAACGCGATGTAACTCGCGGCATGGATGGGGCGTATTAGTATGCAAGCTTCTCCCTTGCATACCGCAGCTCATGTACCAACAACCCAACGGGGAGCATCTGTGCGATCACAAAAACCCGCCAGCATTCGACAGATGGAGCGAGAACAAAACAGCAAGCTCAAATAGATTGGGATCGGGCACGGCACATGAGGTGCCCGGGCCTTCAAGCCCAGCGCGGTACGGCCTTCGTCTAAGCGACACTCGTCGGCCAAAACAAACAAGACCCTCGCCTGTCTCCGCGCAACCGGAATGATGGCGAGCACGATCATCATTCCGTGACGACTTCGCGGAAGAAACATCACGGTACGGTTTGCCGTCAGAGCGGGAAATCGGCTTTACCACACAGAAGAAAGAGGAGAAGGCGGGATTTTCATAACTCATCCCGGGAGGGTTAGTCAAACCTCCGATGTACAACAACCCTCAACCACCACAGGCTACCGTGTTCACTCGAGTGTAAAAAAAGGGCGCAACGCGTGCTGCCAAAGCACGATGCCTTCAGGTGCCCACTTTCTATTCGTGTGTGCGAATGTCTCCCTCTCTCTGCGTGTATCTATCTGTCTATCGCCACACTTCAAACCTCGCAATCCCAAAACAGCTGCATCGTCAACCGTCGCCGACGTAGGATCAATCAACGCCGGTGAAACGCCGGCGCAGCCTATCAGCGAGTGTTGCACGACACGGCGCCCCCCCGACGGGGACAACAAGGAGAAGGACCGTCACCTCCTATGATAGGACGGACAGAAGTGACATCGGCACGTAATCGAACCCCAAAAGCCCCAACGAACCTATCTCACAGGCCCATCTGTCCGCGGCATTTAAGCGAGTAGTTTGGTGCGCTATAATACAATTCAAAGCAAGCTTCTTCGATCGATATCGCAACGCACCCGTTGGGGTCATGCCATTTCAGCGTCCTGAATCTCCGACTCCTTCTGTTCCTCCTCCGGCACCGGGAACGCCTTGGACAGGTCCGCGTTCTCACCCCCCTGTGCCTCCAGAGCCGCATCGAGCTCTTTCTCCAGCTGCTCCTTGCCGAGCGTCTCCTCGAGGGCCTCGTTCAGGTGGATTTCCTCCAAGAGCATCGCTTCTACCTTCGGCTTGACCTGCGCGTGCGTGCGTGTGTGCGTACGTACGAGCGTGTTGCAGACCACCATCATCCCCGTTCTAGCGCGCGGCCAGCACCGCTCAACGTCTCGGGACAGCCAGTTGGTAGTTCCGACATGCATGTAGGTCCGGAGAAGTGCAAGTCCCGATATACCGCATGTTACGGGATTTGGCTACTGTATTTAAAGCTGTATATAAAAGGAGATATTCCAGGAATTCCCGAATATTCAACACACGTGGTGCGCTGTCCCGAAATACCGCGGTGATTCTTTGCCTGTCACTACACCGTGGTACATCGGGACCACGACTTTATGTACCCGGTCGTGCGCGCGGCCAGCACCGAGCAAACGCCTTGGTGCCTAGACAGCGTTAGTCGCATCACGCGCGCCTTCAACCTAATTTACCTGCGTCGCCGTCCTGGCGCTGCGTTCAACCGCACCTAGTCTCGTGTGGGGGCCGTCGGCAAAAAATGGATGAGGCGTTTGGCTACGTGGAGAGCGAAACCGCGGCTCGTACAACACGCCAAATTTCCTTTCTCGTTGGCGGCCTTCATGGCTCGAAACCATGCTTTGGAAACCAATGTGGAAACAGGGGTAAGCGAGGCGAGTCAACTCCAAGGTACAGCAAGTGTCGTATCTACCCGCCGAAAACACCGGCACAATTATTCCAGGAGACCGGCACTGTTCAGAGCCGTGCCGCACAGCAGTGCCAAACTACCGTCACTACCCAGGTCCCCTCACTATTGTATCGACGAGGAGACACTTGGCCAAGAGAGAAATGCACCAACCAGACCCGAGGGTTTTTCTTACTTGCACGTCTACGCGGACTTTAAAAACCCCTTTTACGCACCCTTCTTTCCCACGCACGCGACGCTGACACCGTCTCGACAGGAACTACAAACACGATCCAGTACACACAACCCCCACAAAAAACAAAGGGTACCGACGCCCCGCTCAAAACGACGACAAGTCCGTCTCCAGAAAAGTGGCGGTCCTTTCGTGGCTCGCTTGATCGACTCCAGTTTCCTGACGTTTCTCTCAAGAGAGTCGTATAGAGAGTCAGTCAACCTACTGTTTACCATACGACGCGTGTGATGCCACCCCCCCCTTTGACCGACTCGACTACCCCACGATCAAGAAAGACGAGAAAAAGAAAAGATGAAATCGATTTTTGGAAAAGCTTTCCACGTGTCTGTTCCAACGCCGGCATTTTTCGGCACCGTCGCCGTTGTTACGGCATAGAAATCGAGCCATGAACGCCGGCCCAGGTTCTTGCGCGACCCACGGTCTACTTGGGCTGCCGTACGATGTGGGACACGGTCAATTACCCCGCACGAACTGCTGACTATACCGGCAGTGTTGTACACCGCCACGAAAACGCGCTTCCAGACTTCATGTCAAGGGGTCACGCTGTCAGCTTCAGGTGGACACCGAAACAGAAATATGTCCGCTTTTTTTTTTCTGTTCCGAAAAGTTTACGCCGTTGTTACTCACCGCTGCCGCCTCTTCCTCCCCCAGGAGGTAGTATCCGTTCTTGGTCTGTCTGGCGATCACGAAAACCGGGTCCAGGTGTTTCACCAGGGCGTACTCCTTATCTTCGTACCTGTCATCGCGATGTGTCACGTATGCACGTGGCGGGGGGCCACGCAGGCACCAATACGGTCGCGCACGGTATCGGGGCGAGAGCGGGCAGGCCAACAGCAGCCAGGCCAACATGAATGAAAACAAGACATGGGCGATGCATACGTATCGCGTTTTTGGCGGCACGGCAAACACCGGACGCGCTGAAGGAGACGTAAACACATCGGCTACATTGCAATTTCGGAAGTGTAAAATGCCGGTGTGGCGGATCAACGATGTTTTCTTTTTCCGTCCTACCTATTCTCGGCGCCTGTCTGCATCTTTCCGTGTACGTTTGATGCACCGCCCGGGGTCACTAAGGAGGATTTCTTCTCATTCTTCTCCGGCGGTGCTTGCCTTCATTAACTCACACGACCTTTTCCCGGGGGTATCTAAACAACGTTTTTATCACTAACAAAAAGCCTCGTGTGTGGTTTGTTCGACGGGCCCTGCCAAAAACACTATAAACACGTATCCTATATTTTATCCTGCTTAATGTACGCTTGTGGTTACACGCTTCAACGTGAATAGAGGGAAATGTCCTCGAAAGATTTCGGGGACGATGGTACCACAGTAGTACTCTTTTAATCAAGGGGCCTACTATCCACACTGCATAAACAAATATAGGCCATCAAACGTAATCCACCGCGAAAATGATCAGCGAGAGCTTCCAGCGGCTATACCAACCACAACTCACCAGTAGGAGGCGATTAGCTCTACCCCCTCGGCGGTTATGTCCGTGGGGACCCTGACGTCCTCCTCCTCCTCCTCCTCCTCCGTAGGGTAGGAGCCGTCCCCTTCTTCCAACACCTGTTTTCGAAGAAAAACAGAAGCAAAGGATGCCCAGAGAAAAGTAGAAACATGGCTGGGTCGTGCAGGACACTTGTGAATGAATATATCCCGGAAGCTTTTTATCTGTGGACAGAGAGGGGATCAATGTGGTTTTCTGTAATAAAACACACACACACAAAGGCGTGAAGATTTTCAAGCATCACAAGCAATAAACGCGCAAACAGCGAGCAAGGTTTTTCGACGGAACGATAGGAGAGTATGGAATGAAGATGGAAACAACAATAAAAACTCGAGAGATATTCCAATAAAATTCCAATACATTGGTCAGCCATCCAAACCGATGTGCCCCCCTCCCCACACACCATAGTCAGTTTTCCCCAAGCAACTCTTTTTTCTGAACAAGAGCGGCTATCGGAGGCGCTCATAAGATATTATGCATGCATACACAAGTCCTTGAAAAACTCTCGAGCGTGTGTCGAGTAATTCCGGCAGGACGGGGGCGGCCGCGCTTGGAGAGTCGAGTACACAAAGTCGGTCCAAAGGGTGTGTGTCTGTCTTATATTTTCAGTGTGGTGAAAAGTAATCAGCGAGACAATTTTCCGATCTATCAACCAGTCGACATTCACGGTACGATTTTCGGCACACGGCAAGGATGTTCGGTGGTGTAGCGAAAAGCGGCCGGTCTGGCGATCGATCGATTCAACGATGGGCCTATGTGCGCAGCAGCGGCTACATCTGTGGCCTCCTCTTGAGCCCAAAAAATCGACAAATGACGCAAGATAACACGCCCCATGGACCGATATTCAAAGCTCCATTACTCCACGATTCATACATGGAACGACAAGTTTCAGAAAGCTCTCGACGAACCCGCTCCAACGCCTTACGCCGTTTTCGGCGCCGTCGCTGTGGAGAAATTGAGCCTTGGAAATCCGGCTATGGGAGGGGGTGGTATCTTGCTTCACCTGCGGTAGTCGCTCACCTCGTACTCGATCTCCTCGTCCCCGATGAAAGCGGTGCCCTTATTGCTACTGTACTCAATCTCCTCGTCGTTCTCGTCCTCCTCCTCGTCCTCCTCGTCCTCCTCGTCCTCATCATCATCATCCAGGAAATCGCCCTGTCGGGGGCACGGCCATGGCGGGACAGTTGCAACGACGTCACGTGTCCAGCTCCAAACTGCTGTGCTACGGTTGCGATGTATCTCTGCATTCGAAGGCAAGCCATGCATATCCAGCTCCAGCTGTGCTACATTTGTGAGGTGTCTCTGCATTCGAAGGTCGGTATGCAGATGAACACTCCCCGTCCCGGACGTTCAAACAATCGAAACGAACCAGTGGCACACTGCGATGGTGGTACTTGTGATAAGAGCGGCGACAAAGTCTCGGATAACAATTTTAGAGAGTAAAGTGTTAGATCTGTGGTCTGAAGACGAGAAAGCACCTTAAGCTGCACGAGCAGCCACATGGGGTCGTTCTAAAACGCTATGCTACCCGCGTTAAGGCAGGTGCATGCCAGCGTTGGCAACACCTTGTCGATCGAGAGAAAGCTCGTGTATTGCTGCTACACGTCCAACGAACGGCAGAGCAGTTACCTGGAGGGTGAGCGTAATCGGGGTCACGAACAGGTGGACATCTTCCGCTTCCAGCTCCCTCTGCACCGAACAGCAAAAACATGGCGGGCGGGGGATGAAGCGGCCCAAGAGCGAGGACATGGTTGGGGGAGAAGAATATGCGGCCTCCGATGGTGTCATGAAAAAGAAGCATATCCAAAAAAGAGCATCACCTCAGCGGTGGATGTTCTACACTGCTGCACCATACATATGGCAGCCTGTGCTCCATGGACGGTAGCGACGGAACACGAAAGGATCTGAGCCTCGACCCAAAAATGGACATTACGTAACTGCCGGCCGTAGCGCTCATACACGCATGTATAAGCGCAGTCTTGACATGTACACCGTAACGGCGGCCGGGCTTGAACGTTCCACGCACAAAGTTGTCAAGGCAACCAAGGGAAGCGAGGCTGCTGCACAGCTGCAACACGAGTCGACGCTAGAGCGCCCGCCTTTACACCATGGTAAAAAAATCGCTCTTGGTTGATATTGAAGGTCTGGAGGACCGTAGCGGCCCCGTGCGACTCAGAACCGCTAGTGTTCCCTGCTGGGCCAAGACGCGAAAGAGACCAGATTCCGTTGTCATCGCTAGCGAGCACAAACTCGCCTCCGACAGTCGCAAACGAAAATCCAATCCTACGTGAGGCCTACTCACAATCGTTGAAACAACAACAACAACGACAACAACCGCAAGAAAAAAGGGTGCAGCCGTACGGCGTTCATGGAAGAATTCGCAGTGCATGGCGGAACCTGCAATCTTCCAGCAATCCAGCAAAAGCGTTAGTCCATCTGATACCCTATTCAATACGAGTGCTCCGTTGCCCCGCGACCGTCGTCCTGGACAATCTTGTCTTTCTCCAGCTTTGTTCCCCCAAGAAGAGACGGGTAAAATTCCTTGACATTATATACCCCCCCAGTTATATTTCATTTTGCGGGGCACCATTTTTTCATCAGAGGAGACGGCTGCATGTTCAAGGGAAAACAATTTGAGCACCCGGATGTAGGAGGTCAACACCCTGGACTTCAGAACCGAGATGCAAAACAGTGCACATTTATACTTTTTTTTACAGGGAGAAAGTTGGACGATGGCGAAACTAGAGGTACCACATGCCAAGGGCAAACACAACCCTAACCTTGATCGTTGAGACGCGTGATGATTCTATTCGTTCGTAGACCACGACGCTGCCGGCGATCGTGACGACGCGGTGCCTCAGCCGAGCCAAACCACCTCTGATCCGTGACAAGGCCACACAAGCAGGACCCACACCGGCCGTACCACATCACACACAACCGGAAGCCCGTGAGAGCACGGCGACCCCTCCCACACCTTAGGGGACAGACCAACAAGCACGCAAGCACTCTTGTGGACGCACACAAACACCCAACACCCGCTACAAGACTGCACTGGTGAGCCGGCTAGCGCGGTCGATGCTAGTTCACAAGCACACGCACACATTCATTGGTCTGCCGGTTAGCGCGGTCGATGCCAACAACTAAAACACATACACACATTGATCCGGAGAGTAGCATAGCCTATCCCATGACGCCCCCTCACGGGGTCCCCACATCATGGCCTTAAGAAGCATTTTGTGCTTCAACCGCGCTGAGACTGACGTCTTTTCATTTGTCAGCCGGTTAGCGCAGTCGATGCCAACAACAAAAAAAAACGCACACAGACAGACACACACCTGCAAACCCGGCAGCAGCTCCTCCATCAGCTCCGAGTCTAGGGGCACCGCTTCCACGTTACCCTCGTCCTTGGGGGTGCACACCGACACCGCCCAGTCGCACGGGTGCCCGATCATATACCGCCGCCCGCCCACTACCGCAAATCTATCCGCGTAGCACTCGATCACGCGCGGCGTCCTGCTTTCCGCGAGAGTCGGGGAGGCAAAACCCCGTGGGTCGGTATCTGCACCCGCGCGCAAGGGTAATATGTACCAGTACTGGTGTTGTGTGGTGTACCACGGTAGTGGTCCCGGTATAATGCCGGTGCGATCCAGCTGATAGCAGCAGCATTATTGCGGGCGACCGGCATTATTGAGAGCATGAAACAACTTGAATATTCCATCTGTACCAGACGATTTCACCAGCATTTATTCGACCGGCGTTGTACCGGAACCACTGCTGCGGTACGAAAAGAAGAGGGTGATACACGTTACATGATGCTGAGGGAAGACGGCAACAGTTTCACGGTCAGCGCGGCGCTGCAAGTACACAGACACATTAGCAGCTGGGCAACAGGTGCGAGAAAGGGGGGGACCAACCGGTCCTTTGGAAACGCAGCGAATTTCGTGCCCCATCCACCGAAAAGAGTCCAGGGATAAAACAGCAAAGAATGCATGGTGTCATTACCCGTAGGTTGCGTCAGATATCACACCCCCTGGACCGATTTCCAAAGCTCGTTTACTCCACAACAGAAGGAGCGGTGGTGTCGGAAATGGCGGCGTTGGAACTGTCTCGTCGAGAGCATACTGAAGTGGATCGTTTGATTTCGTCATCGTCTTTGTCATGGAAACAATGGAGGTTTTGAAATTCGGTCGAAGGGGGTGTGGTATCACGTGCAACCCACGGTACATCACCAACCTGTATTGCTGCATGTCTGACCAGTACATAGCGACATCCCCCCGGTAGGAAATAAGCACAAACTAACAAATTGGCTGCCATCTTGTGTACCGGACTAAACGTTGACGTGAAGGGGATTGAAGTATTACTGCCGTACGGAGGTTTCTGTTTCGGGTATCTCTTGCGGAGACATGCCACCCGAGGCATGGTCTATGCGCCAATATACCGGAGACGGGGAGTAAGTTTCAATGTAGCACGGCAGCTGTGCATCGACCGCAGCGTCTGGTAGTGGCCGCTGAGTGGTGACCATGTCATGCAGCCGTACAGCAGTGGTGCCGTTCGAGAAGATAACCACGCTACGGTGTCCTCCAGGTAAAAATGGATTTGAACCAGACGCGCACCTACTTGACGGTAAACTCTGTGACAACGGACACTGTTCTATTCGTTGCGCAGATTGGGAAGCACCTGCAGCAGCAGCAGTACGCAGATTCGCCTACTGACAACAGCAGCCAGGTCCGCCTCAGCGTCGCACTAATGGCTGTGGCACGAGATGCGCACCGTTTTTTCAAGACGAACACCCCGACAACCTAGCAACTCAGGAAAACCGCGTCGAGGGCACTCTTGGCGGTTGCTTCGACCAGAGGGGGGCAAGATAGGTTGGTGTGTGGTACTACGTTACAGCAACCTGTCAGCACGTCAACGTCAACCTCATCATGTTTCCACGTGTTCAACAACAAACTCACTGTCCCGGTCGCTCTTGCCGAAACACATATGCCTGGTCTAGCTTATCCTCGGGCACCGTCTCCAGCCGCGGCGGCCCTGCGATCAGCGTCCCCTGCTTGGAGCCCTTCTTTTTCTTCTTGCCTTTGCCCTTCCCCTTGCCGCCGCCTCGCCGCCCTGCCCCCTTCACGCCGCTCAGCCCGCCACCCATGCCTTCCCCAGCTACCATGAACGGCAAAAATGCAGCACCACCGGCTCTTCGTCTCTCCAGCCCCGGCCCACCGAGACGCGATTGACAAGAGAAAGCGGGTGGTGCGCTGGGCGGATGTGCGCTTGGGGATAAGAAGAAGCTGTGGCCGGTGTGGGTCACGGACGCAAGCAGGAGCAAAGCCAGCGCTGGCCGCAGATGAGGCGTCATGTCCCTTCTTGATCGTGATCGCAACATTGCCGGCAGGCTGCGACGCCTGCGTGTAAAGCTCGGCAAAGTTTTCACAACCAAACTTGCGCGTCTGTCGTGCGTTGGGAAACACGCCAGTGGGAGACAGCGAGGTGGCATGCGGTGTCATGCAATGCCATGACAGCAAGTGCAGCACTCTGGGGGGGGAACGCGATTGGGAAGGGGCATCGCAATATCAAACGTGCTACTCCACCGCAATCTTATAATTGTTTTGTAGAAGATCATGAGATCATGCCAGGTACCCACAATAGCTTCCAGCTTCCAGCAGTCGAGTTCGTGTGGGCAGTCTGCCAGAGAGCGATGGAGAGGCGAGAGGGCGGCCCTTTTACTCTCCAGTGGAACGACGATAACAGAGCTTGGTAGAATTACGTCGGAGGGCTCCTCCGCACATAAGGCAAACCTCAGGCAAAATGGATGCTTCCGCGAAACAGGGCGGAGTGATACAACATGCGCCCGAAACGCAACTTGCCTTGCCCAGCATCGCTGGCAGCAGTCAGAGGTAGGAGATGTATCACCGTGCGCACGGAGAATCCACAGTTTGGTGCTAGTACGTTGGGTGGTATCGCAAGAGTGTATTTGTCCGCGATAACTTTGAAGGCAAGGCAAGGTGACAGCGGTTATGTACCCCGATGTTCGATCTCAGCATGCCACAACATCCGGATACATACGCTGTTCTTTGCTGGGCGAACCTTAGTTTTAGTGAGCTACCGGCGAGGGACAACCCCTGGCAATGACTGGCCTTTTGGGGGCATGATAAGGTTCTGGAAACAGCTTTAGTAGCTCAGACGAAAAGTGGAGATGGAATTGTTTGCTCTGTTGCACCAATCTACGTACGTCCGACAGTATCCGGCATCACTGGACTGTCATGGAGCGGCCGATAAATATCCTCGCTCGGCCAACCTGCACGACAGTATGCACGCGACAAACGCGCTGATTGCAAGCTGGCGCAATGCTAACGTTGACAGGGAACAACGACAAAGAAGTTCGAGGCGCCAGTCGCAAGCTTCCGGTTATGGAGGTGACGGCATCGAGGGCGGGGGAAGTGACTCTCCACGCCTCTCTCAAGACTCCGATGATGATTCCGCTGAGTTCTGGGCTGACGATTCGGTGGTGGCTACCAAAAAGAGGTGCTGGTCATGAATTCCGATGGAACAGTGGCATAAGAGTTTGGCACAACAATTGACTTGCTCTTTAAGAAGTTTATGGCAAGCGTTATAATGCTTTGTGCAGGCCCGTTTTTTTTTTCCCTGGCAATTACGCTTGTCTCGCGGCTGGAGCACAACCATCACGACAGAGGACCATTTGGCATTGAGCTGTTTAAGTACAGCGACAAACTGCTACAGTCTTCTGGAAATTATTGTCTTGGTATTTACCCTCTGGGGGCCTCCGTATTCCACACAAAATCCCACCACCCATAGTTTAACCGGGTGAATCTCCTATTTGCGCGGCTCAACATGAGCCCGAAAAATGGATAAATACTCTCAGATCACGTATCAGGGTCACCGAAGATATCGTACCACCTCCATCACATGCCACACTCACTTTGAATGATCACCCGGGATAGTACCATGTGTGCAGTACGGTATTAGAAGATGCAGCCGCGCGACCAGTGCTTGCCGGGGCTACCCGCAACCAAGTGGCTACCCTCACCGGCCGCGTGTGTGATTAGGGTGCTGCGTCGTTCCGCGAGTCTCTCCGCAGCATTTTCCTTATGCCCACGAATGGAGAGCCTTCCGTGTTGTTGATCATACCTAAACTAGCACCGCGTTAGCCAAGGTATCGAGCTGAATGCATCATCCCGTTGATCGTGGCGACACCTACAACGACGATCCCAAGGAGCAAGTCGCCGTTCGGAGCGGTCACAGACTGGGTCGACGACTACAGGACCAGAAAGTCGGGTTACGGGCCGCCCTACTACTCGGAGTACGGGGGCGACTTGCCTGGAGAGTGCGACCGGATGGGGGCAGACCTGATGTGCGTGTCCGGGGGCTTTTTTGGTGCTATGCCATTGCGTACACAAAGTGAGACACTTTGTGTCATGGGGTGTCCGATATGACGGGAGTGTTCCATGTGTACCACTTCGCCGACCAAGGTACAAGTTTTGTCATAACCACTCATTCCGTTTTGCACCACCTTCAATGATATTCCTACAATCTCTCTGTTGTGAAAATGTTAGCAGATAGCCAGAATTAGTCAATGTTCAGTAGCACTGCTCTTATATATCGTAGATCTCATATGTGACGGTTCGAATCTCGGCTCGAATGTAACGTACGTATGTGTATGCGGAAGAATTACTCTCGCAGTATTCTCTGCGTGGTGCTTGGTAGCCGAGTAGCTCACTCTCTCGTGTGATCCTTCCGGATTGCATTGGCCACCTAAGCGCCAGTGTTCCAATATCTCAACATATTCTTCACTCCGTGGAAGGACTCTCGTCTTCCAGGCTACCCTCTCGCACGTGTCATAACCTGAACTAACGTCGACGACACAGCCTCTACACCACCGTGCCAGGGCATTCCACAATATCCATACTAGGTTATAAGCCTCGGTTGTACGTTTGTTAAGATGTACAGCATATCCACTATGCTACAAGTCAGCCTTGTAGCATAGTGGGTATGCTATATATCTTAAGAAAACTATGACTTGTAGCATAGTGGATATGCTGTACATCTTAACAAAACTATAACCGGGGTCCTTCAGCCTGTTAGAGCTGTTGGACCTCGGTAAACCCCAGGGTTGTAATCCCTGTAATCAGCACTGCCCCATGCGGTTCTAACAGGCTGAAGGACCCCGGTTATACTATTTTTATGATGTACAGCATATCCACTATGCTACAAATCAGCGCTGACTTGTAGCATAGTGGATATGCTGTACATCCCGACACTCTCCTCCAAACATCGTGCTTGACAGTACTACTGTTTTCTGAGCGTTCAGAAAGCTTCCATGGTTGTATACTGCGTCAATGTGCGTGCGTAGGGAAAACCACGCTAACGTTTAGGTACCCGGCAGATGTTACGCGAAGCCACTAACGGGGACTGCGTAGTTGCAATATCCTGTTTGTTTCGGATCCTAAAACAGAGCTCATTTTCTAGTCGCCGACAGGCCCTATGCCCCGCGGGTCGGTTCTCCAGATTCGGTTTTCTCTGCATCTGGAAGGGTGTGGGTAAAGAACTGGGTACGCCGGCCTTGATATCGAGGTTCGAAACGTTTTCGAAAAGTCTTTCGTTGCCGAAAATCCCCCTCCTTTTCAATAGAGGGACGCTCTAGCTTCCGACACCTGGCCACAAGGGATGTCTCGAGTGTGTGTGTGAGAGAGAGGTATCACAACCGCCGCTTCCGTGTTTTTTTTTTTCTTCTTTTCCTCCGTACCATGACACGATGATGGTAACGACGCAGAGATGTCGATGAGCTCCTTCGGAACGGGGCTAACCCCAACCTGGGACGCCGACAAGACCATGGGCTCACCCCGATACACTTCGCCGCCAGGTGTGATGCCGTAGCTCACGGGAATGCCGCACGACCCCTTGCCCATGGCACATGCCCCCGGAAACCGGTGGATTTTGACGGCCATACCGTGCGATGCAGCAGAACCAGCGACGGTGCCGAAAAATGGCGGCGTCGAAAATCGCCTCGTCGGGAGCTTTGTGAAAGCGTGTTGGTCGTTTGATTCTTGCTCCCTCGTCGTCGTGGAGTGGTTGAGCTTTGACTCCCGGTTCGGGGGGTGAGATGTCTTAAGCAACCTGGGGCAGTACACCCAGGGCGGGCGTCTCTCTTGGGTGATGCTGAAAAATAGACGCGAAGACAGCCGTGTCGCCAGGCTACCGCTACCGCGCCTCTTCTGAGGCAAAAGCGCGAGCCTCAGACCTCAACATTTCTCCAAGCGAACTTACACGCAGCACGAGTCATCGTTAAGTACTGTTGCCGGAAGCGGCCGTTGTCCCGTCGTTCCTGCTCTTTTTCAATGTTAGTTTTTGCGGCGCGTCTTGGGCGGGTTTTGTTCTTTCCGGCGGTTTTGCGTTTCTCGGTCGGGGCGGCCGCAGGTTCGGCAACGTGGACCTGCTCAAGATGCTGAAGCGGGCCGGGGGTGACCCGGGCATCACGAACGCGTTGGGCCTCACGCCGCTCTCGTACACGTGCGCGTTCAAGCTCTCTCTGAGCAAGAACGGCGGTGACTCTTGGGAACGCCAGCAGGTGCGGAGCCGCGCGCGATCGTTTGTTTCTTCTCGTTTCCCCCCGCTGTCATCCGTACGCAGGGAAGTAAGCACAAGATGCCGAACATCCTTAGCAGGATGCAGCGCACCCTTCATGCGACTCGCCGAATACCTCACGGCGCTTCGCGCTTGGTGGTGTGAGAGCCTGGTCCGGTGAGAACCCGGCGTGCTCCGTCCCGGCTTTGTAGGGATGCGAGGTCAATGGTCTAACGACTACGGCATGCACGACTATGAGTACACCCCCCCCCCCCGTGGGGTGTTGCAAGTGCCTTTCTCAAGAGGAGTGCGCCACGTGAGATGCATGCGCGCAACAGCTCTACACTTGCGGGACTTGTGTACTACAGTCGGGCGCCTTCAACAGTGCGGGTGGTGTGCCTAGCGCTTTCGCCCAGACTATTACTGGCACCCGCACCATAGGGGGGCACCCGGCTGAACGGGCTTGGACCCCCGGCACATCCACGGGGCGGACTAGAAGTGTTCCGCGGGTGCATCTGGACGATTCTCGCCCTATCTCCGGCGACCTACTGCTGCCGTGGTTCCTTCCCTGCTGTGCTACGCGATCAGGTAGCTGCGATAAAGTGGCTGCTGGGTCAAGGGGCGAACCCCAACCACGTCGACAAGGCTGGCTACACTCCGCTGGCCTGGGCTTGCCGAAGCGGGTTATTCCCGGCTGTGGTGGCGCTGGTGGAAGCAGGCGCGGACGTCATGCAGCGTAGACCGGAGCTCCCTGGAGGAAGGTGCAGGAAAAAGCCCCCAGGCATTTCAAAGAACCACGGCAGAACTCTTCTGCTGCTATCTTTTCGTGACACAATTGCCGCCTTTCGAACTCGTTTCTTTCGCCTTGTTTTCCTGCCTGTCTGAGTCTGATTTTTCTTGGCCGCAATGGCTCGGGCGCTCCACGGTTTTTGGCCTTGGGAATGTTTTACATCGCTTTGGCATGCTGCTGAAAAGACGTCCCACACTGGTTGTAACTGACAAGGACTCACATGTTCTACGAACGGTTGGAAAGAAAACAACTCTCGCTACGAGATCGCCTTCGAAGGTACCGAAACGGTTCGTCTTACCCATTTCTCCGACGCCCTGATATTGGTACTCTGTCTGCATGTATGTATTTCCGTTTGCCGAAGTCAAGTACGCCTGCCCAAGGCGGATCCTCTTGCGGTGACAACCGTCAAGCAGATTGAGAAATACTTGCAGGTACGTGGTGTGGTACTCTTCTACGACGCACGATGCGGGCCCCCGCTATGGTGGTCGTTGACTGCACTCCGGCGATACTGGCTCTGCGAAATAGAAGTCCTTTCGATCAACGGTGTGCTGCCCCTTCTGTCTCGTGCTTGTCTTGGCGACGTTTCGGATGCCAACTTCACGCGCCTTTGTTTTATTCCCTGTGGGTTGTTGTCCGTTTTGTTCGTTTTTGTCTGATTGTTACTACTTTGGGGCGACCATCGACGGCAAAACAGAACAAGATAAACACGATTCTTTTGAGGGAAGAAGCTCTGCTCCGACGGGAGCGCAAGGTCGACCTCCGCTCTCGGCGGCTGAAGGAGATCCAGGCAGCCATCGCCAGGAAGAAGGAGGTTAGGGCGTTCGTCATACAGGAGAAGCAACGGGTGAGCAAGCCGGCGGACGCTTCGACGGAGATGGGGAAAGCCACCGGCAAGGCAGTAGTGATGATGTGGTCGTGAGAGAGAGTTAGACTAAGGGTCGACGAAGGTGCGAAAGCAACGGGCATGGCAGTGGCGTGGTTCTGAGGCAGAGTTGGGACAAATGGCTAGCCGAACGCTTCGATGAAATTGCGGAAGCAACTGGTAAGGCGACAAGGTTTTGTGGTTGTGGGCGAGAGTCGGTTAGTTTCTTTGCGATTCGTGGTAAAGCGTTCGCCATTGTTGTTCGGTTTACCGCGCCGCCCTAAAAGGACGGGTGGGATCGATCGGTTCCACGCATCATTGTGCTGCCTGTTTCAAGTAGTGCTTCTCAAGAAATGGAGGTGTGGAGGGGTGTGCGGGCAGGCAATCACACATGACACACGCGTTCCTAATTCAAAACACACCCACACCCACACACACACACGTTTCTGTCTTTAATCCGGAGAGTAGCTTACCCTCCCCCATGATGCCCCCTCACGGGATCTCAGATCACGAGCCTTATGAGGCATATTCTGTTTTCAGCGGGTGAGAGACTGGCGTTCTTTCATTTGGTCAGCCGGTTGGATGCGACAGTTAAACCTACGCACCTCGCGCAACACGCGTTCCCCAACAGATGAAGCAAACGGAGGAGCTGAACCTTGAGCTGATGAAGGTGGACAAGGCGGAGGAGGCCCGGAAGGCTCGACGAGACTGGCTCCGGCTCATGAAGGTCTCCCCGGGTATGTGGGTCAAGGTCGAGGTAAGTTTCACCCCTCCTGCTGCTGCGGAAGCCACTCTCTTCCACCGACCCAGACCAGAAAGCATGCGTTGAGATAAACGACTACGGCATCAAAACACCTTCCACAAGCGCGACTCTGTCAATACAAATGTCTCGTTCCACCGGCTCGGTTCAGAAAAGTGTGCGTTAAGAATACCCGATCAGCACCTGACGTCAGGCGTGACTCTGTCGATACGGATGCCCTTCGTGGTCCAACTCGAATCCCCTCGGTGGCACGATAGGAGGGATACGAATGTCGTGTTCGCCTTGGCCTAGCCTTACCTTTTGAAAGGGGTATAGTTACAAGGTTGCGCTACAGCTGGTCGTTTGTTGCCTTATCCATGGGAGCGACTCCAAGAGATGAAGGAGAGGGCTGTGAAGGCGTGCATTCACGATCTTCAACGTTTCTTGGTGCCAGCGATCCTCCGGACTAACGAGAGTTATCTACGTTTCGGTAGACAGGGATGGCGTAAATTCATACCTCTACAGCCCACAGAAGCGGGCGCAATTATTTCCAGGCAACCTTCGGCACGCGCCCCTCCCTACCCCACAGGGTGCTGCGTCTGCGGGGACCCCGGGTGTGAGGGCAAGGAAGCCTTGCCCCCGGTGGGTGTTCGACACTAGCACGGCGATTTCGAAGAGCGAGGCCAAGGCGCACGGCGTGCTAGAAGAGGTGCGTGCGTCGAAAGCGTGGCTGGCGGTTTTCTAATTGGTTATAGGTCTCGGGTCTGTCCTAACATTCGTCCCCTTTTCGAAGCGCTGCTGTATGTGTCGGTGGGTTGGTCTTAGTCAAAGTGGGGGGGGTGCGTTGTATTTTCAGCTCAAGTCTCCTTCTTTTTGTGTTTTCCTGTCTGTCGACCATAGCCCGCACTTTACGATTTTTCCATATCCTACATGCAACCCCCAACCAGGATGCGACTACCACCAAGAGACGATCACGATGAACGTCGATCCTTCTTTTGTCGGAGTACACGGATGCTCTAAGTTGCAACGCCATACAGGTTGACATCGCCCAGCCTTCAAGGCATCCTGTCGTTTCGTTGTCCACCAGGACTCATGAGGTCTATCATGTATACTGTACCAACTTGAGTCGTGTCCGATTCCGGCCTTTCTCTTGAAACGGTCACGACATAGGCCCGACAAGTGGAGGCGTTCATCATAAACGGGGGGGAGAAGCAGAAGATCCTCGCCCCTCGTTGGCGCTCGATGACTGGCAAGCGGCTGCTGCGACTGGAACACGGGCAGCGGATGGGGTTGGCGGCAAAGGTGAAGGGCCGGAGACAAGATCGACAAGGCGACGGGTCCCGTGGCGGCGATGTTGGTGGTGATGCCGAGATCAGCAGCGGTCCCCCCCCTCCGCTGAGCGGGCTCGAGGAGGAAGGGAGCGATACTTCTAGCAGCAGTGGCGGTAGTGAGGATGGGAATTGAACGAGCTTGTTGATTGGAAGGAGCGATGATGTGTAGTGCTGTTTATCCTTGTTCGTCTTGTTTTTGTTGTTGTTGTTGTTGTTGTTGTTGTTGTTGTTGTTGTTGTTGTTGTTGTCATACGTTTGAGTCCGCGCATTTTTTTTCCCTGCAGATATGAGGTCGGTTATGTAGACCTGAGAGTGAGCGAGCCACTTGGATCAACATGCACCCCACCTATGCACCTGCACGTGGAGGATAAAAGGCAGCATACAGCAGTAGTGTAACATTTCACTCGTGTACTCGCGAACGACACACACAACGCATCTTTCTTCTTCTCCAACACAACGAACGCCCGCCAATATTCCCCGCGAAGTCGGCCTGCGGGCAGTGTCGAAGGGCAGCATACCTATCGCCGTGTTCGACCGCGAGTGGGGTGGTGGTCTCTGTGTCCATCCCTGGGCAGAACTACTCTACATTGAATTGCTTCACTGCGGCATGCATTGTGTAGCGTGGTTCGTGCACACCATTTTTTTGCCTCGTGAAACTGCTGAATGAATCATTTTCGGGTTAAAATCGAAGGCAAACACCGCGCGGGGGAGGTATATAAGAAAGGAACCATCCCTGCTGTCCCTGCTGTGTCGAGGAAAGTATGGTCGGTGATTTTTTTTTTTTCTCCCTTCACAGAATTTCCGTCTCTATAGAGGCGACCAGTGCGCGAATGTTCTCTGCATCGACAGCAGCCTTCGTCGCCGCTGCCTCTCCAAGTTCTCCGACACACAGTAACTCCCTCAGCTCCTCCTTCAACACAT